GAGCAGATCTTTGTGCTGGACTGTGTTGGGGAAAGTTTTATCTGTTAGTTTAGGCACAAGTGTCAGGTCCATCTCTGTCCTTCTTGCTTTAAACACAACTTCTGCCACTTGGTCGTCCTGTGTCTCCACTGCAAATAAAAAATGTACAGGTTTTACTTATTGGTTCTACAAAATTGTTTAAATTAAAGTACAGTATATACTTCTGTGTTTCCTACACAAAGGAACCTTACATTAGTGTAATATAAGATGTCTTGCCTTTAACACCGATACATATTTCTAATGTAACAGGAAAGAGAGCAGAGTGCTTTCACCGGGGATCGAACCTGCAACCCCAGACTTGCTATTTGGACGCTCTACCACCGAGCTAAAGGGAAATTCTCTCTAGCCCAAAGCTAGGATGTGACCATAATCCTATGTACAATTAAAATCTGCCACCCTAATAAAGACAGAAAAACTAATGTTATTACACTGACCTGCAAGAATTTCTGACTCATCGAATGGACCCAGGGTCGAGTCTCCACTAGATGTTGATGTGATTTCTTGTTCATCTGCTGATGAGGACGGATTCCCGTTATCATCAGCTGCTATAATGTCATTAACAGCCTTTGCATTTTTCGATATAAACTTAAAGATGTTGGCTTGCGTCACTTCCTCATTCAAATAATTGGGAGATACCTAAAAACAGAAATAATCAATACAGTTTATATTTCTCCAAAATAGTTATTACACCTTCACATCATTTCGATCAAACTGCAAGAAAACAAAGAATAAAGCAAAGTATTGTGGTTAATTATTGTGGATAAACTTTGGTATCAGTAACAATGGGCCAATTACTATAAACCTACATACTGAACACTGGGAAAATCCACTTTTCGCCCAATACTAAATATGTCCTTCACATTTAAATACTGTGTATATTATATTGTTTACAAATGATCACTGTAATGATAAATTTGCATCTCATTACGGAGGAGGAAAATTGTGAAAATAAAACTGCAGCGAAATTTTAGCAGTAGTCTTATTCAGTGCTATTCGCGCTTTAAATATTGTGTTGAAATTACGAATGTGCCAATTGAGGTTCCAGTATAATGTTTTCTATTACATGTTGTGTGGGTGCGCCAATACATCAATGCACTAATCTGTTCAAATTTGATAATGTGCTAAAATTTGAGTGTGCTAATATAATTATGTACGCTTACAGTGCCCTGTTTATAGTTGGCCGAGGTACTCGCATAAAAATACAACAACATATGTAGGTGAAGGAACAAATGAGATATGCCCTGGACAAAAATGATGCACAGACAAATGGACCAACTGACACATGGACAAAGTCCTAAACAAGTTCCCTCTGAAAGTACCAGTGGGGCGTTGATCATTTTCAAGTAGCCAGCCCCCAACACCGACCTGCACATCATGATTAAAACAAAGACAAATGCTTTACAAGAGTCCCATGGCCAGAAGGCCTGTATCCCTCACCTGGATATTTGTGCAATTATCGGAAAATATTTTCAGTAAAAGTACTTTTGCAAATATTTTCATATATTGACTCTACTTGGCTTAAGAATGTTCCAGACTATTTGATAATTCATATACTACTCTATCCTAGCGTGCTACTGGTCAAATATAATAACCAAGGGCCTCCTGGTATTGCGGAAGAAGTTGTTTGAAAGCTGCCACATATTTGACCCCTATGATCTTGAAAGTAGGTCAAGGTCATTAATTTGAGGAAACTACTGGCCAAATATCATTGCTCTAAGCCTTTTTGTTATCAAGAAGTATTTTTTTTTCCACCCATTTTTGAACCCTGTGACCTTGAAAGTAGGTCAAGGTCATTTATGTGAGGAAAGTTTATAGCACTCTATCCGAGGTACATTCTGGCCAAATATCATTTATCTGGGCCTCCTGGTTATTCAGAAGACAATGTTTAAAGGTTTTAAACACATTTGACCCTTGCAATCTTTAAGTACATGTAGGCCAAGGTCATTTATTTAAGGACACTTTATAGCACTTTATGCCAGGTACCTAACTCTGGGCCTCCTGATTATTCAGAAGAAGTTGTTAAATTGTTTTTTTTGCATATTTGACCCATGTGGCCTTGAAAGTAGGTCAAGGTAATTTATTCGAGGACACTTTAAAGTACTCTGTCCTAGGTACATACTGGCCAAACATCATAGCTCTAGGTCTCTTGGTTATTAAGAAGAAGTTGTTTAAAGGTTTTTTTAATTTTGAACCATGTGACCTTGAAAGTAGGTCAAGGTAATTTATTTGAGAAGGATCCTTCAGTTCTTAATAATTTCTTAAGAAGAAGTCATTCTAAGAAAAAGTTGACGGAGGATGGATGGACGTCGGACAACACACCAAACCATAAGCCTAACTGGCACAAAGTGCCAGGTGAGCTAAAAATCAGTTTTTGAAAACTAGCAGGTAGATTAATTTCAGATTATTCAATTATTGTTTCCAAATGCTTATTTAATTCCTTTTACTATCAAATCAATTTTCTATTAATAAAAAAATATGAATACAAAATAATTTAATTTCAAAATGAGTCTATGAATATGTTTATACAAAAATTCCAGGTATTATCTAGTCCATATGGTATAAATAATAGAGGATACAAGTTTGGTTTTATTTTTCGATTTTAATCAAGTGAAATGTGTCCAAACAAAAAACTTGCAATAGATGTTCATACCATGAGATCTAACTAAAGTACTGGCAGAGTTTGTCTTGTGCAGATTATAACGAAATAGTCACACATTATTTTTTGAATTTAGGTCTGAGCCATTTACATGAAAACAGCAGGAGTATATATATATTTGGTTTCAAACACCTTTCAGATAAAAGTTGGACCAATCCTAATTCAAACAAGAATATAAAGAATTGACAACTTACCTCCCCTTCCATGAGAATTCCCACAGCAGGTGTCACTCCATCAAAAGAGAATGGAGGATCAGCAGACTCACTGTGGGATGTAAAAGTGATTAACATGTACATATAATATCTAGAATGTATCTTTCTTGTTTTACAAATTGTTACATATCCATGGACCAACAACCAATTAAAGGTTTTCATGTAATGAAGTTCTAAAGTATGTGAAAAATATAATGATATTTATTTGAAAAGTGTTATAACCTTTCACGAATGTTTGTATATTACCAGCAAACTGCATAGAAAGGGGGGGGGGGGGGGGGGGGGCTTATTAACAGGCATTTCCTTTTCACCAGTTAGGCTTAAGCTTAGGATAAATTCACTTGTCAGACCTGTAAACACTTTCCGTGTGTAAAATCTGCCGTATTATACAGAATGGATTATATGGATTTGCACATTTCAACCATCAATAATTGAAGCCAGAGTCAAAAATTTGTTGATTTGAATCAAAATCTATACGCTTGTCGTTCCTTTGACCTTGATCAAGGTTATTAATGCTCTTGTATCTACTGATCTAGATCATGACTACTCTTGCATTCCAACCATTTTAATCAGCACTAATCTTGTGTTGCCTCTGTTGACCAGAAGGAGTGACCGAGCGCCTGTCATTATTACTTACATATCGACGGTGACCACTCCATATATACCCCTGTATTTCTTGGAGAGTTTCCCGGCTAGTTCCATCACAATGCTGCGACTGTCAGCCTTGTAGTACATGTATATAACATGTAAGTTTTCAGTTTGAGCGTATGGTGAGGTGGGTCCGTCTGATGGGATGTTGAACTGCAATACATGTATAAAGACAATCAATATAATTATATCATATCATAACCTACAAACTCTTTAATTTATATATGAACAGATTTGCAGGGTGTTAGGTTTTACTATTTCACCCCATGTTCTTGCATTTGTGTATTTTTTCTGCAAGCTCTGAGGCAGATATATGTATGTGTACATTGTGAATAGTCAGCGATATGTGTGGTGTAAAATTACACAAAAGCATGAACAGTTGATAATAAGCAGAAATTATCCCATATGTAGATTTAAACATGAACACTCCTATTTATTTTCCTTTCCAAAAGTAAGCAAACCTCCTGACATAGTCCCCCCACCCCACCCCCCCAATCTCAGTTGATGCAAAATTCAGAACCCACCCAACCCCCCTACATACACATGCAAAAATATGTTCCTGATGAAACTTCCCCCAAAAAGTTCTAGAAGTAGCCCTACCCCCTTACCAAATAAAAAAAAAAATCCTGATATCACCCACCCCCAACCCCCACACATTCAATAACCTCCTGACACAGCCCCCTTGGAAACCTGATGAAGCCCTTCCTTAATAACCACTTGACACAGCCCCCTCGAAAAACCTCCTGATGTAGCACCCATCGATAACCCTTCAGACACAGCCCCCTTGGAAACCTCCTGATGTAGCCCTGATCACTAACCTTCAGAAACAGCCCCCATGGAAACCTCCTGATGTAGCCCCTATCAATAGCCCTTCAGACACAGCCCCCATGGAAACCTCCTGATGTAGTCCCTATCAATAACCCTTTAGACACAGCCCCCTTGGATACCTTCTGATGTAGCCCTGATCACTAACCTTCAGAAACAGCCCCCATGGAAACCTCCTGATGTAGTCCCGATCAATTACCCTTCAGACACAGCCCCCTTGGAAACCTCCTGATGCAGCCCTGATCACTAACCTTCAGACACAGCCCCCATGGCAACCTCCTGATGTAGTCCCGATCAATAACCTATCAGACACAGCCCCCATGGAAACCTCCTGATGTAGCCCCGATCAATAACCCTTCAGACACAGCCCCCATGGAAACCTCCTGATGTAGTCCCTATCAATAACCCTTTAGACACAGCCCCCTTGGAAACCTCCTGATGTAGTCCCGATCAATTACCCTTCAGACACAGCCCCCTTGGAAACCTCCTGATGTAGCCCCTATCAATAAACCTTCAGACACAGCCCTCTTGGCAACCTCCTGATGTAGCCCCTATCAATAACCTTCAGACACAGCCCCCTTGGAAACCATCTGATGTAGCTCCCCACCAGACCTCCTCAATAACCTCCTGATGCTGCCCCTATCAATAACCCATCAGACACAGCCCCCTTGGAAAACTCCTGATGTAGCCTATATCAATAACCCTTCAGACACAGCCCCCTTGGAAACCGCCTGATGTAGCCCCTATCAATAACCCTTCAGACCCAGCCCCCTTGGAAACCTCCTGATGTAGCCCCTATCAATAGCCCTTCAGACACAGCCCCCATGGAAACCTCCTGATGTAGACCCGATCAATAACCCTTTAGACACAGCCCCCTTGGATACCTTCTGATGTAGCCCTGATCACTAACCTTCAGAAACAGCCCCCATGGAAACCTCCTGATGTAGTCCCTATCAATAACCCTTTAGACACAGCCCCCTTGGAAACCTTCTGATGTAGCCCTGATCACTAACCTTCAGAAACAGCCCCCATGGAAACCTCCTGATGTAGTCCCGATCAATAACCCTTTAGACACAGCCCCCTTGGAAACCTCCTGATGTAGCCCTGATCACTAACCTTCAGACACAGCCCCCATGGAAACCTCCTGATGTAGTCCCGATCAATAACCCTTCAGACACAGCCCCCTTGGAAACCTCAGATGTAGCCCCTATCAATAATCCTTCAGACACAGCCCCCTTGGAAACCATCTGATGTAGCTCCCCACCAGCCCTCCTCAATAACCTCCTGATGCTGCCCCCTTCAAAACTTGAGGATCTACTGAATTGCCCCTCACCTGCTTAGGAAATGTGAGGGCTCGAACAAACTGGGCTAGTGAGGCCAGATCCATGTAACCATAGTAACGTATCTTTGGACAGGGATCCACTTTCTTACTGTCCTTACACTGCAGTACCCAGATCACTGAGTCGTCTGTCGCCATGTCACTGAAACACAGAATGTAAAGTGTTCGTCAATGTTTTGAAAAAGATTTATATTCCTGATCCCAGCCCCTGTATAGAACGTCTGTTTATGTACATAGCCCTAAGTACTGTTTTAATACATGTAAAATGCTTGGATTGTGATTGGATAACAGAGATCACAGAGTGGTATCCTTGACTACAGGTGACTGTTCCGAGCTCCAAGTGACTGTATCAATATACCATAAAAGAAGACCTTCAGTTTACACAAGGGTTGTCAATGGTAATAGCCAGTTAACCGGTTACTCAGCCAGAAGATAATTCAAGTAACCAGTTACCGGGGACCTGTTTGACAACCCTACTTTCCATATATATGACATTTACTGAATCAGTGTAAAAATGTACACACCCTAACTTATTGAACACTATGAAATACTACATTGTTTCACCAATGCTGATGTGAAAATTTCCACACTTCAAATAGTCTGAATTAAGTCAAGGGGAGAAAATGTCCTGACAGGAAAATGTCCACTCACACGGTTTACTAATGTGACACATACAGATACTTGTGACACATACAGATACTTGTGACACATACAGATACTTGTGACACATACAGATACTTGTGACACATACAGCTACTTGTGAAATCAATAAGTACAACGTACTCAGTTCCATAGTGAATGTTGATGCTAATCTGTTTTCAAAGTTTTCGGAGTGCAAACCTATAGCTCCCGAGGGAACCGGTTGGGTACTAATAAAATTACTTACTCAAAGTTTTGTAGCGATTGTTTACTTGTGGACAAGGCAAACTGGAAATTGTCGGAATACGCATACGCCACCTCCATAAATATCCGATGTTCTGAAATAAACAGAATTTCGGTTCACTTTCTACATCACTTAGGCTGACAATTATTCAAGGGCTTATTTTATCATTTATCTGAGTATTCTTCAACAATGTAATACACCATTGTCTTGCTATAAACCCCCAGTTTACAGAATTTCAAGGTATTATAAAGTATCGGTAGTGTAACATACTAATGCTATACAGTATAAGGTGAAACATTTTCTTGTAAATTTTTTGAACTGATCATTCAGTAAAGCTGGATTTGTAAAAAAATTCAAGTGTTTCTAAGAAAGAATTATTGATACAATGTCTTGGTCCTCTGACATTTCTACTTCGATCTTTACTAAAATAAATGCCCGGCCATGCATCCATATCTAATGATTTGAGTGAGAGTCTCACGAAAAATTCTTCAGAAAAACTCCTCACAGCATGGGACACATTTCTTACAAATTTCAATTGGTCACATGGAAAGAGAAAGCTTTTGGTCAATCCTTAGGCGAGGAAACAATAACTATGCACTGTTTAACACTGACCTTGGTCACTGAAAGGTCACTGAGAAGCAAATTTATGTCTGTTTTATCATTTTCACTAATTCAGAGCACAATCTCACTACTTTTGACCAGAACTCAAAAACCTTTTCACTGGTCTCACTATTTTCCACGAAAAATTTATGACATGTATGCTACGTAAATTTGTTGTCTTTCAAATTCTTTTGTACTCACCATACGTTCCTATAGCTTTCTGGAATGTAAATATGATATCCCTTACTCCTCTACTTCTGTACTCAAAATCTTCCCTTTCCTCTCGTCTCTGTAGAATCGGAACTTCCCTCAAAAGTACTAATCTGTTGATAAATTTTAAAAGTACTTAGATTTTTGCTTTCCTTTGTGTTAAGTCATGTAAGAAGACCTGTTTCTTACGATTTCATACTGAGAATTACTTTCGGACAGATGGACAGAATGAGGGATGAAACACAAGCCTGTATCCCCCCCAGAACCAGAGGGGGAATAATAACATATAGGCTTTCCCCGGAAAATAATTTTTAAGGCCTATGTAGAGCAGAAATGTGATAGGACACTCTACAGTACACGGTAATGGTTACAACTTGAAAACATATTTACTGTAAAATGTTGGACATGATGGAGTTGACGTCGAACATTGTCTGGAGTTCGAGCTGTAGGAGAGTGGCTCCCTGTCTGTAGGTGTAGATATTGTGTTCTATCATATCCATACCACACAGCTCCTCATCAATGGGCTGGGATCGGCAGTCATACTGTAAACAGAAGAATATATTGATGTGTCGAGGGACTGGGAGGGATGTTAGGGAAAAGTCAACATACCCAGAAATCTTCGCCGCAGTTAAACTTTCGCCTTTTTCGCCTTCCCCAAATGAGATCAAATTTATCATGACATTGAATATAAGTACACACTACGTGTGAAGGGCAAAATTAACACCAGTAGAACATGGACTTGATCGGCAAAGGGCGAATATTTGATTGGGCGATACTTTCTCGGTATTCAGTATTATAATATGTACATTACGTATCTGCAAAAAAGACATTAACTGAAATAAATGTCCAATTATATTTACATTCCAAAAGTATATTCACAATATTTTATCTTTTGAAATGCTTTCCATTGTCACATGATGGTCAAAATAAATACAAATGTACGTGGTACATGAATAGTTGCATTATCAGTCACTTGGTAGCCACCAAAGAATCTACTTGTTAATCGCATGATGATCAAAGGACAATGAAAGGCTTACAACAACTAGCTACTATAGTGTCCTACTGGCCGTTGATATTGAGATAAAGTCAGTATGCACACTGTACACTAATACAGAAACTCACCACTCCAAAGTTGACACCGTAGACTTCCAGGAACTCCGCAGATTTCTCATACTCTTTCATGAAGGTCCTAAGTCGCGCCATGTCTGGAACAGAATACGAAAAAAAAGAAAAATCTTTTGAAAATTATTGGTATTCTCCAGAAAACATCATTTTTTTAGCTGATATATATATCATAATTAGTTTCCAAATTTACACTTTACATTGTATTGGGGGAAGTGAGAGTGGCAGGGGCCTCTCTTTTGGGAAGCTTCATTGGGGAGATGGGGCTATTACAGAAGAGCTTTATTAAAGGGATTTGGGGTTATTTTGGATTGGGAGGATGGTGGCTGTTGTGATTTTGGGGGCTTTATAGAGGGGATGGGGCTATTATTAGGAGGTGGGGTGGGGAGGATAGAAGTTGAGCTATCATTAGGGGGAATATAAGGGAAGGGGGGCTGTTACTGGAAACAAACACCACACCAGTTAACTGATGTTATTTCTGCTGGTCCATGTAAATTAAACCTTTTTCTTTATATGTACTCAGCACACAAATATTGGGTGAGAAGTTCAACATTCACAGTTCCAAAGCTGTAGTTTTACTAATCACATGTCATATTGGTGTATGTACATGTGAAATCCAGATAAAACTTACAGCATTTAATGAAGACATTTCTTTATCCAGTCACCACTGCACTGATTTAATTCTGTTTATAACCACTAAGTAAACTGACCTTAGTACAATACTACCGCTATAGTGTGACAGTTACACTCTATATTTACCCACTCAGTAAAATGACCCTATGACAATATCTCAGTAATTTTACAACACTACAGACTTTGAGTATTTCAATGTCATTCCCTCAGACCGTTTCACCACCTAATACAATTTCCTTTACAGCCAGATAATAGCCTTACAGTATTAGCTGTAATAAACGAACCTCCTCCCAATAGTCTAATGATTATCACCCTGCCCAGGCTCTTCCAATAAGAAAGTTATCATGGTTGTTTTACAGCGATTTGATGTCTCTCCAATAGTAATATTGTAATATTAGTAATAATAGTGTCAGTTTAACAGGATACTATATAAAATCACATTATTTCAGATCTTTTACACCATTTTCACTCTTGAGAAAGTTGTTGAGTTCAACACAGAGTAAACGACAGGACATCAATAAAGCATAGACAATGTGACAAATTCAACACAGCTTCGACAATATGACTAATTCAACACAGCTTAGACAATATGACTAATTCAACACAACTTAACAATATGACAAATTCAACACAGCTTAGACAATATGACTTATTCAACACAGCTTGGACAATATGACTAATTCAACACAGCTTAGACAATATGACAAATTCAACACAGCTTAGACAATATGCCTAATTCAACACAGCTTAGACAATATGACAAATTCAACGCAGCTTAGACAATGTGACAAATTCAACACAGCTTAGACAATGTGACAAATTCAACACAGCTTAGACAATGTGACAAATTCAACACAGCTTAGACATTGTGACAAATTCAGCACAGCTTAGACAATATGACAAATTCAACACAGCTTAGACAATATGACTAATTCAACACAGCTTGGACAATATGACTAATTGAACACAGCTTAGACAATATGACTTATTCAACACAGCTTGGACAATATGACTTATTCAACAAAACTTGGACAATATGACTTATTCAACACAGCTTGGACAATATGACTAATTCAACACAGCTTGGACAAGAAGGCAAATTAAATACAGCTTGAAAAGAGGGCAAATTCAACACAGTGCTGACAGGAGGGCAGGGTCAGCGAGGGATCAATAAGCTAGTTAGTTCAGCACAGGGTGAACAAGAGGACAAATACATCAAATGGCTAACAAGTGGGTAATTCAATGCAGGTTGAACAAAAAGTGAATTCAACACATAGCAAACATGAGAGAAATTTCAACAAAAGATGACAAAGATGGCAAATTCAATACTTGGTAAACAAAAGGACAACCTTAAAACAGTTCAAACAAGAGTTAACAAGAGGCCAAATTTAGTTCAGGTGAACAAGAGGTTGAATTCAACACAGGGTGAACAAGAGGTCCAATTCAACACAAGGTGAAAAAGAAACCAAATATAATGCATGGTGAACTAGTGGCCAAATTTAACACATGGTAAACAAGAGGCCAAATTTAACACAGGGTGAAAAAGAGGTCAAATTTAACACAGGGTGAACTAGAGGCCAAATTTAACACAGGGTGAACTAGAGGTCAAATTTAACACAGGGTGAACTTGAGGCCAAATTTAACACATATTCAACATGTCAATTTTTATCAAATATGTTATTTGTAGTGAGCAAATTCACAAATATGAGGGCGAATTCAATACTAGTTTAAACACATTTCAAATGATGGTGGGACATGAATTTAGATGTTCTTAAAATGAAGAGTAATCTAGAACTAGAAAGCTTGTCTTAATATGTCTCTTTTTACAGACGCCCTATTTGTCTGAAAATAAAGAAGTAATCATCTTACGACTCAGATTCTAAATCAATGTGTGGATAAGCTAATGAATTAGCAGTGAGCAGTGAATTTTTTTATTACAACGTGGGTAAACAAGAGGTCAAATTTAATTCAGGTGAACAAGAGGTCAAATAATCAATGTGTGCATAAACTAATGAGTTTGATACAGGTGAGTCTTTCTACCTCCCTTCCCTTGGAGCCCCACCACGCCACACATTTCACTAGTGGCATCTCAAGACATATGAGCAATTGCTAGTTAAAATGTAACTAGAAACAGAGGTGGAAATGACTTAGAAATTTTCCTGTAACAGGATAAAGAAATCATTGTACCAGAATAACCCCTTAACTCATTCACCCCTGATCATGAATACACATTTGAACTCTTCCAATTCAAAGGTTAGACTAGTTCATTATGAAATTTCAGGGGTGAATGAGTTAATATGATTAACTTAAAGTTATTCATTTAGATGAAATCATTAGTTTTTAGAAAATAGGAAAAGTTTAGCACTTTTGTTTTAAGAGTGTATAACATGCATATGTCTGATCTAGAAAACATGGAAATCACAAAAACAAATTACAGCATGATAAGGTTGTGAACACGAGTATTACTGACACTTCCTTCTGAAAATATGTAAGATTTGTTTCATATCAGGAAATTGTATTGTATGCTTGAGTAGATGTGTTTATACGAGGTACAAGGCGTAAACACCAGCTGTCCTTTTAGACACAGCGAGCTTTGCTATATTTAAATCATGTCAGGTTATGAGACAGAAAACACCTTTATCATACACAGCTACCTTATTTCACTGTAGGTGCGCCCCTGCTCAGGATTTTTGTAATGTATGTTCCTTGTATAATTGTGTCTATAGATGTTAACATTTCTGAAACTAGAATTTTAAATTTAAATTGAATCTCTGAATTTTTGATTGTCTCTCCTTGCAAATGTAGCAGAACTGGACTGGGTCGATCGTCAGCAACCAGTTAGCTCAATTGTTAGAGTGTCTGTCTAGAGTTCGGTGGTTCCGGGTTTGAATTCAGGTCTGGCCATCATGCCTTTCTGTTTCTCTTGTTCAAAAATTGATAAACTTGCCAACCCTTGTTTCAAGCACTGGGTGAATGTTTGGCAAGAGGATATTTGAACCAGGGTTGAAAATAGTTGTGTCCTTGTGGGTGAAGACTTAGAATAAGGAGGAAAGAATGTAGCACAACTGGACTTGGTCAATCATCAGCAACCAGGTAGCATAACTTGTAGAGCGTCTGTCTAGAATTTAGAGGGTCCCAGGTTCAAATCCCAGTCTGGCCATGTATTTCTCTTTCTACCATTACACAATAGTATCGTATGCAAAAACGCATGTCTCACAAATTACAATCGAACTCCAACAATGATAAATTAAATCTAAGGATGTTAGCCCATCACACATGACAACAAAGAAATTGTACTTGAAGTACAGTGTAAACATTGATATTGACATTGCCTACAAGTTAGTGTGATTAGACACAGCTGGAGAATGTGACATGTGAACACTAGCTCCATTTCTTCTTAACAAAATTTTTAAAAAAAAGTGAGCATAGGTTTTTATTTTCTAATGACATGAAACATCATTTATCATCAAGATCTATACAAGGCCTAAATGAAATGTTTCTGGTTAAGTCTATGTACACCAGATTTTTGTCAACCTTCCCTGCAAGTTATTACCAATTTTAAACAAGTGACGTTGAAGTCAGGAGATCGTATCCACAAAAACTTGTCGTAATCTTATCTAAAACAAGAGTTCTGCGGGGCGAAACAATATACGCCCGTCGAATGCCATATAGTGTTATAAACTTTCTTACATTGAAATAAGATCTGCATCATTCAAAGAGTGGTTAGCTGACATGCTATAAAAATGAAGGAGAAAATCTCCAGATAAAAAAATAAAATACTGAAATGAACAAAGGGCAATAACTTTTGGAAAAATTGTCGAAACAAAATTCTTTTAAGGGAGACACAACTTCATATCATGATTATAATATATACCAAGTTTCAAAGAGATCCGTTGAAAAAT